TTTATTTTCTTTTGTTCTTGCTTGACAAATAAAAAAAAAATAAAATTCAATTAAAGATTGAATGAATGGTTGATATTAAATCATTCATTGTGACAGTTGGTATTTGAACTCCAGCAGTAGTTGGATCAGTTATTGTTTGAGACTGATTTTTTTCATTATTTTCTTCAGTAGATTGTGGTGTTTGTATTATTTTTGAAGTAGTTTTATTATCTTCTTGTTGTGGTTGTTCTTGTGGTATTTCAGTTGAGTTATTAAAAGAATCAGCAACTTCTTTATTTATTGATTCAAATGATTCTTTAAATTGATTAAGTTGTTTATTTAAATTATTCACAGTTTGATTTAATTCATCATTTACTTTGATATATTCATCTAATTGCATTTGGTTGAGTAAAAGTTCATCACTTTTTGAGTCTAGTTGTTCTTTTAAAGAATCAATTTCTTTTAATAAACTTTCTTTTTCATTTTTCCAGTTATTGTTTATAGACTCAGATTGTATTAGGTTAGTTTTAGTAATTGAATCAAGTTCTAACTTCATTTCCATTTTTTCTTTTTCTTTTGAAACAATTTCTTCTTTTAATTGTAAGATATTGTTTTCTTGAAGCATTAATTTATTTTCTAATTCACCAATTGTTGAATTCTTTTCTTTAGCTTCATCTTGCATTTTTATTAATTGAGCTTTGACCATATTTAATTCTGTTTGAACTTTGCCACATTCATTTTCATTTACTTTTTGAATTTTTAATAATTCTTCTAATTTTGTTTGATTTTCTTTTAATTTCTTAATTTCCTCTTCACTTTGTTTGAGTTGATTTTGTAATTCTTCATTTTTCTTTATTAATTCTGTTTCTTCTTTCTTTTGAGTATCTATTTGTTGTTGTATTTGAATAATAGATTCTTCTTTTAATGTAAGTTTTTTTGCTAATGCTTCATTTTCTTGAGAAAGAACTTCTTTTTGTTCTTTCATTTCTTGATTATCTCCATTTAAAGCTCTTTCTAATTCAAGTTGGTTGTTTAGATCTTCTACTTTATTTTGACTTTCTGTAAGCATTTGTTCAATAACTTCATTCTTCTTCTTTAGTTCTTCTAATTCTTCTTTTAAGTTTTGAACTTCTCTTTCTTTCAATTTTTGTTCACCAACATCTCTTTTTTCTTTAACTTCTTGAACAATTTTAGTGATAAAACGAACTGACTCTCGATCAAATAGCATTCCAGTACTAATACCTTGTGTTTCAGCTTCTATAAATTCTTTTGAAATTAATAGATTATCTAATTTCTTTTTCATTTGTTCAAAGCCAATAGTATCAATTGCTCTTGAAATTTTATCAATCATCTCCGTATTTGAATGTGGTGCTGAATTAAATTTTAGTTCATTTAAAACATTAAACAAGATAATACAAGCTAATGAAGAATGAAATAAATCAGAATCACTTGATTTAAGTAACAAATATGTAAACAATGTTTCATTCATTAAATTTAATAAGAAATTATTATCAGCTTCATATGTTACTGTGACTAATATTTTTAATAATGACAATGCTTTTGCACGTTCATCAGTTGAAGCTACAGTATCAATAAATACTTCTAAGAATGTTTTATCTTCATTTATGTTCATTGGTTTTTGGAAGACATAACGAGACATTGGGTTAAGGAAAATTGTATTTAATAACATTGAAGCAATTGTATATATTCTAACATTATCTTTTTTAAAGAATGAATTTATGATATTATTACCAATTGTTGAATCTTCATTTGGTCTAGCCAAAGGAAGTAAAGTTGAAGCTATTGATAATTGAGCATCTGAATTATTCTTTAAATATGACAAAAAGATTTCATATGCAGCTAATTGAATATCAATATTTGGTGAACCAAGTGAGATTGGAACAACTCTATCTAATGCATACATTTCTTTCTTTAGAGAACCACGATATAATGTTATTTTTGTTTTTGCAAATTGTTGTTGACATTCAGTATTATCATCAATCATTAATGAAACCATTTTCATAGACTATATAAATTAATAAATGAAATAAATCATAAATAGTTTAATAAACAAACTGTTTTTAAGAAAAGTAAGAAAGAAGGAGGATATGGAATATCTGATAAAGATAAACTACCAATAATTTCTAATAATCCAAGAGAAACAAAATATTTTTGATTTATTTTATATGAAGGAAGATTAGAATTAAAGAATAATTCAAGAACTGAATAAATATGAATAATACATTCTAATTGATCATCTTGTAAATCAGCAACTGTTTGTGGTTTTACATCATCAAAAAATTTAAGAAGAGATTTTCCATAATTTAATTCTCTAAAATTATATTCATTTTGATTATTATTATCTAACAATACTTTTAATAAATCAAAATATAATACAATTTTTCTTGGATTTTTAATATATTGAGCTTCAGCAAATGCTTGAAAAATAACATCAAAAATACCATTAAATACAAGTAATTTTTGAAGTTCTTGATTATCTTTACAAATAGTAGTTAAAAACATTGCAATATCATTATGCATATAAGAATTAGGGAGATTTTGAATAAACAAAGGATATAATTGTGACATTTCAAAGAAACATGTAAATTTTGCATATGATTTATATGTTTTTAAGAAATATGTAATTGTAGATAATATAGTTTGAATTGTTTGAATATCTTTCATTCCATCTAATTTAGAACATAAAACATAATCAAAGTTTGGAAGTTCTTTATAAATTCCTTCAACTAATAATTCCTCTTCAAATCCATCTGTATTTCTTGGTTTTGTTGTAATTTCTTTTAATATCAAACAAATAAATTTAATCATTTGACTATCTGTTTTTACATCTGCATTTTTTAATAATTCAGTTAATTGATTTAAATGTTGAAGAAATACTGAATGATTTGTATGAGAACTTGAATATATATCATAAATAATTGTTGTTTTATCTTCTGCAGTTGTTAACGTTTCAAATAATTCTTCTACTTTTGGTCCATCATCTAATTCAGTAGAAACAATGTCATTATAAACAGATTTAATCCATTGCATTTTACTTTATTTATTTTGATTTTATAGTTTTGACTTAACCGATGATGAATTTTAATTATTTTATGTAATATAAATCAATTTATTGATTTATATTTTTTAAATTCTTAAATCAGAATAATTTTCTATAAAATGATAATATTTTAAAATAAAAGAAAGAAACAACACAAAAACAAATAACAATTTAATATTATAACATTATTTTATTTGGAGATAAAAATAATCAGATAATTCTAATTATTTATTTAGAAACAAATAACAATTTTTTTGAATTAAAATTAAATTTTGTTATTTAAAAAAATGAAATAAATAAAAAATAAAAAATAAATTTTTATTCAAATTTAAAAGAAAAACTGTTCATAATTGATGCATTGAACAGAATTTCTTATGGAAAATGTTATCAATATCAGTTGGAATTTGTGGTTCACCAGGTTGATAATTAATGATATCCATAACGACTTTGTGCATAATTCTTAATTTATTAAAGTTAAATAATTCTTTTTCTTTTGAAGCATTATATTCAGAAACAAGAACTAAATCTCTACTAATAGTACCCATAAAAGGTAATAAAGGTTGTTGAGATGAAGAAATAGTATCTCTTAAATTTTTATAATTATTTTCAAATATACATAAATTATCAAAGAAATCATATCGTTTTCTTTCATCTGATTTTAATTGTAATTTTAATTGTTCAATTTCAGGAATACGAACAAAAGCAAAAACAATACCACAAATTGCATGATAATTTCTATCACGATTAAGGAAAATATCAAGTATTTTTATAGTTTGTTGAAGTAAAGATAATTTTTGATCTTTAGATATTTTATTAAACATAGAAGCATACATTTTAGAAAGACCATTAAAACTATCAATCATATTTTTAATATTATATGTTTGATCTTTTTTTGTTTTATCTAAATAATATAACAATTCTACTGGTTTTATTCTAATAAATAATTTTTTATAAACATATGTCATTGAATTTGTTATTTTATAAGGATCTCCCATAAAATCTGAAGGATCTAATTCTGAAGTATCAAAAATAAGAGGAGGATAAATAGTAATATTTGAATTTCCTTTAATTTGATTAAATAATTCTAATACAATTAATTTTTCTTTACGAATTTTATTAAATGGTTCTTTAGAAGTAGATAAATAATTTATTAATCTTTTTTCTGATTTACCTAATAAACTAAAATCATTTGGATAACTTTGCATCCATTGTTTTAAAACAATTAAAATTTGTGTTTTTCTATCACCAGTTTCATCTACACTAATATGAGGAATTAAATAATTTATAACACATTCAGGAGATGTATATAATCTATACATTAATAAAAAGATTTCTCTATATTTTGGTTCTCTTATATTAGGTCTAGTTAATTGAAGTACTAAATCTTTCATTGTAGAAAGATAAACTACAAATTCTTGTTGTGAAGTAGAATAAACATATTCAATTGAATGAATATCTTCAAATTTTAAAATTTCATTACATCTAAATAATAATGTTTCAAATTTTTCAAAATATGAACGTGAAAATTCTTTATTAATTTTACGATATTGTAATGATAATTCATAAAATTTTGAAAGAAATTTAAATGGAATAATTGCAGTACTTAATAAATCACAATGTTTATTAAATAATAAACAACTTTCATCTTCTGTAAAATTATTTTTTTCAATTTTTTCAATTTCTGTTAAAAATGATTGACATAACATTTTACTAATATTAAGAACTTCTACATATTTAGGAAATGCCTCTGAATAATCAATAAAAAGAATTTCTAAATCTTCAAAAAATTTTTGATATAAATCTGAAATTTTAAATGAAATATTATTACAATATAATTTCATTAAAAATGAAAATACTTCTATTGATTTATTATATAATAAATATAAATATTCTAATGGTTCTTCTAATTTAACTAAATGAGTTGTACTTTCACTTGATTGAATTTGTTCTACTGACATTGTTCTCATTTGCTTTTTTAATCTTTTTTTATCTTTTTTATCATCTTTTGTTGAATTTTGCATTTTAATATCTCTAATTTTTGGTAATAAAATATCAATATAATTTCTTTTTATTACTGTCATTTGTTTTATATATTTTTTAAATTCATTAAAAATATCTGTAAATCCCATCTTTTTTCCTGTTTCAAGAACACATAATGATGTAGAATATCCACTCCAATCTCTTGCTCCAATATTATCAACTAATTCCCATTCATTATTTTTTAAAACATATAATTTTCCATTTGATTCTCCAACAATTGATCCAAGTCCTTCAGTAATTCTATCAATTCTATTATTTCCAATAATAATTCTTCCATCATTACTAATAACACTTCCATCAATTTTTAATCCCCATAAATTTTCTCTTAATCCAATAATATCAACAACTTTATCAATATTTTGCCATATCATTTCTCCTAATGTAATAACATCTCCTTCTTCTGTTAAACATGCAGTATATCCTTCTCTACAAACAACTTTAATAATTTTTTTTCTTCCTAATTCAACAACTCGTGCAGGTCTATTCATTGAAACAACTCTATTCTTTCCAATTTCTCCATATGTATTTGTTCCCCAAAGATATACATCTCCTAAAGTTGTTAATGCTGCATAATGTTCTTCAGAACATGCAATTTGACTAACACCTTGTAATTCTCCAACTCTTTTAAGCATTACAACATCTTCTAAATTAGATGTTGTATAAACTTTTCCATCAATTAAAATTATCATTTTTTTATGATTTCCAGTAATTTGTTTAATTCCAGCTGGAATTCCTTTAATAACAATTGGAGTTTCAGTTACTTTTTTTTCTTTATAATTAATAAGACCTGTAGCATATACTCCATCTTCTCCAATCATAAAAATATTTCCTGATGTTATAACAACTTGTTGTATTCTTTCTGGAATTGGTGTTGGAAAGAATGGACATTCTCCATAAAATTTTGTTTGAAAATCATCAACACTTCCACGAGAACTAAATGATGTTCTTGGAATGGATGTTCTTTTAAACTTTTCTGTTTTTTCATTTACTGTTTCAGTAATAACAACTGTAGCTGCATCTTGAAATTCAACTTGAACATCTTCTCCAGATTGTGTAGAAATATTATCAAAATCAACACAATATCCTAAACCAGATTGTGGTGTACTAAGTTGTGGTGTAGCATCACTACGATTCTTTTTTTTAATTGGAATAGACATGTTTTTCTCTTATTTATTTTTTAGTTGGTATTTTTTCTTTTTTCTTTTTTTTTTATCTCTTTTAACAAATACATTTTGATATTTTTCTTGTTCTAAAAATATTGTGTTTGTAATATAAAAGAATCTTTCCTTTTTTTTTATATATATTTATAGTATATTCTTCTTTTTCTTCTCAAACAAAGTTAGTTTTTTATTATTACTTCTTTAAATTTATTTGGAAAAGGGATTTTAAAAAAAAAACATTAGTTTAAAGAAAATGAAATAATGAGTTAATGTATCATTTATTAAATAGTTAGTTGTTGATATCCAACATTTTCCTATGAAGAGATGAAACATATCAACAAACACAATAAAAGAATTTATGGTGGTTAAACATTACAATTTCATTGAATATTGATGATACAAATAGACAATTGTTATTCAATTTAATTCTTGGTTCATGAACGTCAATAAAAGAAATATTTGGAATGTTGGTAATAATACAACATTTCGACTTTCTATTTCTTTTGTAAAAATACTTATTAAATTGAATTGACTCATAATTTCTACATATTTTTAGAGTGTTAATTATTATTTTTTATTTTATTAAAGAAATTTTTCTAATTCATTTTTGTAAAGAATATAATTTTAATTAAGTAAAAGCTTCTCCTTCTGTTTTATAAAATTGATTTTCTAAATGAATAAACTGAGATAATAATTAATTGAGTCAATTTAGTTTGGTTGAATATTTAGTTCTTTTATAATTTTTTTTTTATTTCATTGTCTTTAATTTTTATTATTTGAATGAATATTTTTATCAAATAATACTATAACTTTTTTTGATTTGGTATTTTTGTTTAGTTACCTCATGTGCAAATTCATCAATTTTCATTTAGTAATTATTTAATTTTATTTGTTGTATTAAAATTTATTGTTTTAATAATTCATTTTATTTAACTAATAACTCAGTTTTTTATTCTTTATAATAATTATTGTATTATTCTTTAGGTAATTGAGTTTTAAAACTCTCTTTAGGTTCTGACTTGACACAAAGAGTCTTTTTTTAAATCCTCTAAATTCATCATTAACAATTATATTTCATTCTTTTTTTTTCTGTTGTTTGTTTTTGTAAATTCTTTGTATTATTTTTTTTGTAAAGTAAGACATCTCTTTATTGTAGAGTTATATGTTTTTGATGTTCCCAACCTTTGCAGAACAATAAATAATTTTTGTTCATTAAATATGTTTATTTAATAAATTTATTTAGTAAATTAGTTTTTATTTTTTTATTGCGAAATTATAATAGAACGTTCCTATTCTGAACATTTCATTGTTTGAACATAAAAATTTAATTCATCAATATTTTCATCTTTTTTAATCATCATTTTATCAAGATATTTCTTTTTACCTTCTATTTCTTTTTTTGTTTAACAATAACACGATAAAGTTTATCTTTTCTTTGTAACTCCCATAAATTTTTGAGAGTTTATCTGTTTATAATTCTTTAAGTTTTTTGTTAATTTTTTATATTCTGTTCAAAATATTCATTTTCGTTGATAACTTCATTTAATAATTCTGTAACTTCTTTTTTTTCTTCCATGAAATGATTATTATCAATATATAATCTGTTTTTTTTTCTGTTCTATGCCTTGTTTTCTTGGATAAATACTGAAATACAATAGAACTAATAACCAAAAATGATTTATACTACAAAGAGTCTTTAAAAAAAAAAGAGATTCTGTCATAAGATAAAATTTCTTTATCAAAAGATAAGAGAAATATTATATGATTTAAATCAATAATTTCTAATTTAT